AGCGGTTGGGTTGTTAGACTTTTCTCATTCACATAAAAATGTTTTTCAATTTTATTCTTGACAGAAAACATCATAAAGGAGCTCGTATGGCTGGTCTCATCCATCCATCCATCCATCCATCCATCCATCCATCCATCCATCCATCCATCCATCCATCCATCCATCCATCCTTTTTCTGCCGCTTATCCATGGGTGGGTTGTACAGGCTGGAAAACCAGAGAGAGGCACCGATGCCCAAATCACCTGAGCTGACATCCTTTGATGCACAGGAGCAGAGTCTCCTCAGCCCCGCCCCCACCTCCCATGGTTGAGAACCATGTCTTTGGACTTGGCTCTGACTTTCATCCCAACTGCTTCACACTCAGCTGCAACCGGCCCCAGTGCACGCAGAAGGTAGTGACATGAAAATGCCAACAGAACCCCGTCAGCCGCGCAAGCAGAGACAAAACCCTGTGCTTCYCAAACCTGACACTCCCGTCCCCACGACTGTGCCTTGACAATCATGTCCATGAATACTACAAACAGGATTGGGGACAAGAAGCAGCCCTGGTGTCCAACCTGCACAGAGAACGAGCGCAAAAACAGAATCTAAGTGAGTCACAAGGTCACCTTCCTGTTTAAACACTGACCTTGCCTAAACTGAGCCAATCACAAAACATAATCTAATATGTGACATGTTTAATTCAATAATGGATCCTGTTACTCAGTTTTATGTTATATGTTACACTGCAGCTCTATTGAACTGTTTCCAGAAGCTTTTCGGGCTGCACTCACTGATAATGGCTTTTAAAAATTGAAAAATGAAAAGAGAGGTTTCAGACTAATTTGCATTCGCCTGGCAATGCCAGGATTTTTGTTTTTTACTTGACTAATTGTGGTGTTTTTTTTTTTTTTCATTTTTTTTGCATGTTACAAAGAAGCTATAATAGATTCTCTCTTTCACATTCTCACATGTTTTATAATTTTAACTCTAATTTATGGTCTTCCTCTGTTAATTTGTTTAAATGTCATCAAGTTCATTTGAAGCATGTAATACTAAAATAAAATAAAATAAAATCTGACAAAGGACCTTGAGTTTGGAACATTTCTTCTCGTGATTGAGCTCTTCAATTTAAAAATTCAGTGCAAAAAACAACAACGAAAAACGAAAAACGAAACCAAGATTTTTGGTTATAAAATTAGCTTCTTACAACGATTAGTTTGACTAAGTATTGATTTCTACAGCTGGATTTGAGATGACATTTTCTGTAATAGTTGGTTATTTATTTGTTTATTTCTATAAAAGAAATAAGATTTGCTAACTTTTTTAAACTATCACTAGACCTCCTGCAACACTTGATTGCATGAACATTTTTGAAYGAGAGTACTTTGATGACGCACAACTTCTCCTGTATTTTAGGAGCAGGAGCAGCTGATCACTGGTCTCCACCTCATTTAAATAATTTTCCAGCTCGCACTTATGCTAATAAGCATTTTGCCACCTGATGTGCTGAGTCCCTTTCAGGCCAGAGCCCATCAGTTCTGTTCCTGCCAGCATGATAAATGATTAGAAAAAAAAAGATTCTGCCCATTTCAGTTAAAGTTAGGTTGCCAATTTCTTTACTGGCATTAAAACCGCCTTGTTTGTACACAAACCTAAGACAAACACCATCTGAGAGCGTCTGTAAAAAAACAACGTGATGCGGCGTCTTTGAATCTCAATATGTGCAGGGACTAATGAATTGTTTAGCACGTCCGTAATAAGAAGTGATTTATGTTTCCWGTGGTACAAGAGGACGTGACTTTTCAGCTGGCTTTATGTATCCACTGCCACAATGGATTAGCACTGCTCAGCATGTCAGTGGCATTTTGCTGATCTAACCATCCTGTTGTCTCTCCCTCCCCAACACAACTCATAAACAGAAATTGACTTTGACTCCTGTAGGGAACACTGGAGGCACAGATGGCATTTAGCTTCAGATTTGCTTTTGTCTAAATATTTCATCTCTCAACAAGCCAAATGTATCCTCTCCATTCTATTACATATATCATTTGACAACAAGCCAAAAGACATTCCGTCTGTGTAAATACAATGTGACTAAAATGAAAATCTCTGTTCCTGTACAATAAGTATATAATGAATAATTGATAACTCCAAATCATAACCGAGAGGTAATAAGATTTTTTTTTCAGCACTCAAGATTACATACCTCTTTCTATGAGAGCCTACAGGCAACTGAAGGCACGGAAATGAAGATAAAATGTGCAAATAAGAGTTCTTAACCATGTTTACCATGAACCAATGGTTTGGAGCAGACAGAAAATATTTAGAGTTGACTGGTTTAAAAAAAACAACATATTCCATCAGGAGCTGAGGTGTAACTAAATGTTCACAGTAAATATTTAAGCAATTTTAAATCCAAACACTGATCTATTAAATGATGGTTGCAGTGTGGAAGCAGCTTCAGTGCAAATCAAAATTTACAAGAGACATAACGCGAGTCTGCAGCGCTGGATGCATTAGCATAGTTTGAGAAAACACAGAGTTAAAGTGATGGTTCAGATCTTTTAAAGTGGGGTTTTGCAGAACGGTTATGAACACCTAATTTTGTACCTCATGTAGATAGATCATCAAGCAAAACGAGTTTGAAGAGAAACGCTTTAATCCTGATGAGATTTGTTAAATTAGCTGCTAGTTCAAGAAAGAACAAGACCAAACTCAGGTCGCAAAAAAATAACAGCAGTTCATACAAACACTACACATATTTACACTGACATAAATTTTGCATTACTTGATCATTTCACCAAAATTATGTGTGTTAGAACTGCTTCATTTTGTAGTGCCAATGCTTTATTCGCAAAAAACAGCATTATGTAGACAGGCTAAAGAATTTTCATTTTCTGCAAAAATATAGTGTGAATGTTTAATGCTTAAAGATTAAAAAAAAGAAAAATAAAAAGATGTACTTTTAGCTAAAAGAGCTAAAAATATCATAAATGTGGCTAAAAAGTAGCTTAAAAGCTGAATCTAGCACAAAGGGATAGGAAGAGACAGCGCTTCAGATCAGTCCATTAAATGGATGTTATTAGCTGTTATCAGTCCCATAGAATGGCTTCAGACTGTCCCGACAGTGCCCCCTAGTGGGTTATACATTGGAATGCAACAATCTGCTACTGCTGGAGTCCGGTTGATTTTATCGTAGCCCATGTCATTTTCTCTAAAACTAACCTTAGTGGTTTTATGCCTCATATTAACTAGCGGACAGTCTGAAGCCATTCTATGGGACAGATAACGGCTAATAACGTCCATTTAATGGATGATAACATCCAAAGCGGGTGGAAGAGCACATGTTTCCYAAATGAAGCAGCTGAAAGAAGTAGCTAAATGATCATAAAAGGTGAATTTAGAACATAGAAGTTAAAAAAGTAGAACCAGAAAAAAAAGGTGTAAAATGCAGGAAAGGTTAAATTATTTTAATGACTTTAAGGATGTTACAGTTCCATTAAAATTCAGTGGGAAAAWAAGTCCAAAAATGCTAAACATCTCAAAAGTGTCAATTGCTGAAATAGGAAAAGTCATAGCCAGAATTTCATTAGTATATGTCATTTCTTCAAACAAGTTTTATTTTTCTTTAATGAGCTACCTACAAAAGGTAAGATATTAATTCTTCATGGCATTTCTACAGAAACCCACTTCAAAAGATCTGAGTGACTGTTTCGCAAGGAAGAAAGCATATTGGTCCTCCAACTGTATATGACAGGCAGGAGTATCTTCATATGTACACATGCCCGTCAACATAATCAGTACAATGCACATTCAAAGTTGAACTTCGTCTTGTTTGCAGAGGAACAGCCTCCAGAGACCAGGACCTGTGGGGAAGCAGACAGGCCTGGAGCATATGAAGCTAACTGAGGGAGGCTGTTATTCTACCAACCTGTCAGTTCTTCCTCCCCCTTCATCCATCTGATGGAAGCGGCTGGCTTGCTGCCCATGGCGATGCAGGTGAGCTCCGTCTCGTTCCCCTCGCTGACCACATCCTCCCGGCTCTCGATGACTGGGCTGGCTGGCGGGACTGACAAGCAGCAACGGCAACACTCAGAAAGGCACCAGCATGGGAACACACATAATTCACATGTAATAWTATAAATACTGACACCAGCGCAAAGTGTAAATAATTGCTTCTCACCATCAGGAATGACTGTGCCACCAACTGTTCTAACATAAAATACATCTTTATGGAAAGAGAACCAAACTTGTTGGATCTCTCTTTCTGTGAYTTTAACTGAGAGGGTCAGCTGCCACAAGCAAAACTGTTCTTAAAATGTYAACACTTGCTGTGACAGTCTGTTGAACTTGTTTATTCTATGTATCAGCCACTAGCGGCTGGAAGTCTGAGCAGTTTTAGTGAGAAAAAATACCTTTACATGAAGTGAATAAACATAAATCTTCTTTTAGAAGTAGTAGAACAAAAAAAAAAAACCACAGGATGCTACTCATGATGTTTTTTTTAGTGCTGCTACATACTGATGTCCTGTGTTTATGTACACATGTTAATTAACAAGCTGCTTTAGACTGAACAAACTCATTTTGTGTAACATTTTGTCCAATTCTTGTTCTAAGTTGTGTAGTCTCAGTATTTCCTGCTGTCTGCACTGCCAACAGATGTGTTTGGAAGCAAAGTGGGAGGGTGAACATGATGCTGACCTATAGACACGGGTCACTGAATCTGTCTACAATTACTGAATATCTTTTTGGGAAACACAGGCATTGTAGCTTCTGGTGTAATTAATAGGACCTGTATCAATTGACAGCATAATCAAAAAAAGTTAGGAGCCCTTTCTGGCATAAAATAAAGTTTGTTCCTAGAGTTTTACAGTTTGAATTTAGTTAGATTAAAAAAGAATTAAATAAAAAAATAGTATTTGACTTTTCACAAATGAAACTAATTTGACTAACTGTCCCTTCAATGTATTCTTTAAAATTGCTGCATTTATTCGTTGAACTATGTTAATTTCATAGTTAAACATAGTAGGATGGACAAATAGATGAAGCTGTTAGATTTGAAGGCAATCATAATGTTGAAGCTCAACATTTTTACAAATCAACATCATTGTTCCATTTAAACCGTGTTATATTGCTTAACAAATGCAAAACTAACAATCTTCCAACTCCTGGAGTGACTTGTTTTCTTTCACTGTTGAATCTGACTCTGTGCTTGTCATCAGCCTGTTAACAATAAAAACACATTTTAGTTTTTTCTTTCAGCCTGAAAAAACACATTTGCTGACATTGTGGCGTCTTTACAAACATTAAAACAGCTTCTGAGCTTTCCTTCCTCTTAAACACAACATGATACCCCATGTGTGTCTTAAGACAATAAGTTTTTCTGAAACAAAACTGTAGAATCTCAACAAACTTAACAATTTTCTCATTTGATATAAAAAGTTTAGTTCAAATTACAGTGATGGGGAAAACTGGACTCCAAATTGTGAAGAGCATTTATTTTAAATGCCTTGTTAAGTCAAAACATATATATGTGTGTTTATAGCTGCATTCGGGCCAAAAGTACCAGGGGTCGGATTTATAAAGCTTGCGTACGCACAAACTGAGCCCAGAAACATGACTACGCCACTTTTCACATAAATGTTGTGATTTATAAAACCCAAACTTGGTGTGAAAACATGCAGTCCCTCACGCCAGCTCTGACCCATGCRTACGTTCATTTTAGAGACAGGAAGCTGCGACACAGATGGTGAAGTGAGGAATTATGGCCACACYGCGTAACGATCACTGTCAGATATTTCATTTCACTTCATAATTAAATTTAGATTTTATGTCAACGTTATCAGAAGCTTTGTTAACAGTAATGTTTATGCTTCTGTTGTGAGCCATAAGGACCTTTGAAATAAAAAACTTAAATCTTAAATAAAGGTTCACRCATTTCCACGCAATCCTTTACAAATGAGGCCCCTGGTCTTTTTGTACTCGGGAGGTGCTTTCATTGTATCTAAGGGTTTAACATGTAAGAATGATTCAACAATGCTTCATGTYTGATTGAGGAGCTGAGCTTCAGAACACAAATTCAATAATGTAGCTTCAGTAAAAAAGAAGTTCACCTMAGTCAAAACCTGGCAGTGTGGCACCTTCCTACAGGGTTGTGCTACAGTGTTAGTTTTTTCAGATGTGCTTTACTTAACTCATGAGATCACAAAATTCACTATTTTATGTTTTTGAGACCACTATTACCAACTTTCAGTGAYATTGAATGAAATATTACAGTTTGGGCTTCTGGATGGACTGAAAGACAGCCAGTCACATAACCCTCATCGTTCATCACTTCTTCTAAGCAATCCAACGGATTTGATGATTCAACGATGCAGCTAAACATTTATTCATAATGCAGTGCTAACTAGCAGTACATTACTTAGCACGGCCTATCTAAAATTTGATGCCAGAGTCAACAAAACATATATGCACACTATGCAACCTAAGTTCGCATGGATATGAAGACATTAGTCTATCATTCCCTGTATTAGTCWTCACAGCAAAATTGCTGAAGTTCAGTTACTTAAAAGCAAAAAGTCACTTGAGTGCATATTTCAAGAACTCTTCATTCCAACCCCTTGATTCAGAAATACTGCAGCTAGGTTTCAATCGTACAACTGGAGTAATTACTTTAAAGTGCTTTYAATTCCTTTCAATCCCCCAGGATGTCTGCATGTATAATAAAGCTTAACTAAAGTAATTTCTCTCCAAAGCATCAAAGTGTGGCACAGCTGACTCTCAATAGGGAATCGTTGGGAGCAGCCAAGTCAACATTCACCAGGATTCACAGAGTCAACACAGCTGCCAAACCAACACGGTCTGAGCCATCAGTTTCAGCATCTGCTCCTTTTCGTTATGCTGTTGAGCACTGCAAGGGCCTAATTGGCTGACATTTTGTTTCAGTTGCTTAAGATAACAAGATCAAAGATTACTATTATTTCGTATTTATAACTGAGACGGTTACAATGGAAGTATGTGTTTTTTATTCATTTTTTTCCTGTGTGAGATTCACACTTGTGTCCTCGCACCTACCCAGGACAGTGACGTCTGCGTAGGCTTCTTGWGGAGGATCTGTGTAGAGCTGGCACACATAGCGGCCCTCATCGGAGAGCGACACATTGGACAGAGACACCCGGAGTTCGTTGTCAGAGAAATTCACCAGCTGGAACCGGCTGTCCTTGAGAGCTGTGGGGATACAGAGTGCAGGGACACGAGCATGAGACATGGGGTGAGAAGGAAAAAGGAAAGCGTGTGTGTGTGTGTGTGTGTGGAGGGGTGAGACTGAGAGAGGGGATGGAGGATGACGAAGGAGACACTAGCACAAAATTAGACAGGAGGAGGGGAAGGAAGAGTGGAGGGCAAGCGTTGCCCTCTTTCTGGGCTTTCTCCTTAATTGAGTAAAAGAAAAGTGAGTTTCAAAATGGTTCCTGCAAGTTGATTTATAAAGTACCTTTACAGTCCACAGACCACTCGCAAAGAAAGGRAAGTGTGAAGAGTGTTCATGAAGAGCCCTAACAAGCTAGGAAACTCTTAAAATGAGCTGAGGCTGGTCATGGATGGCTGCATCAAACCCACAAATTCCACAGAAAAAGGAGAAGCATTCAAACATACATAATGAATTAAATCACAGTGTGAAAGCAGAGATGCTTGGATGCCTGAAACTCTAAATCAAAAGTAGCCAGAAAGCTGTGTACTAATGCCTCTATGGATTGGCAGAATTCTCCTTTAATGTCATCAAACTAGGTTAGCCATCTCTCGCTGACTTTTTGCTCGCTGCGTTTTCATTTGGGTCAGCACTCATCCCTGAGCACTCTTTTACATAAACAGTGTTGCTTGATTTGATTGGGAGGGCCTTTTGATGCTTTGACCTGCCTTCTTTATCAAGTCCTCTCTGCATCCGTCGAGCTAACGAACTCAATTCYGTCTCGGCTTCAAGCACAGGGAGTTTATTATTCCCACCAGGCTGTGCACTTTGCATTATGATCATCACTTAAGGTCTCAGGGCAGAATCAACATGAAACCTCATCCCCCAATAAAACCTGAGAGCTCTTTGAAAGTCTCTCCTCAAAGGRAAACAATGATGCTGATGTACTTAAGACTGAAAGCACCTGCCACAGAGGGAAACGTCTCATGTCTGAAACTATAAGTGCAGTTGATATGGCATTGTTTCATTAGGAGCTGTTTGCTTACATCAGACCATTGTTTAATATGGATTTTAAAAATGTGAAATTTAATCAAAATAATATTTACCATTTACTATTTACCATAATTCACTTTTACTACAATGTTTCAGAAAAGCTGAAGGCTTTCTATTAGGAAAATACGGAGCAAGGATTTCAGCCTTTACCCTTTAAACCTGCCCATGGAACAATCTCAGGTTGTGGTTACGGCCTCTTCACAGCCTGACCCAGGCTTTGAATTTGTACAGTAGGCTGTTCAAAGGATTTGATTGGTTGTCCTCTTTTGATTGACACTTTTTTTTGCCCAACTGGTTTGATTCATTGGCTTTCCAGAGTCCAAAAAATGTGTGGCAAGCTCATCATGTCCCACCTGTAGTACACATGATCGATCGAGTGTAGAATCTGCCAATCAGCTGGGAGCTTCATTCAGACACCACAACTGTGTAGCCTATCAAGTTACCTGTTATTAACTTGCTGTTTAAGAGAGAATATATTTATTATGAAGTAGTTTGAATGCTTCCAGACAAAGAATAGTGATTTTTGTGGCCAGGAAATGTCATAAAAGAAAGAATTACCGGGGTATGCATTTGTTTTGACTGTCATATTGGATTGCTTTTGGCCAGAAAAAGAGGACAAATAATTCATCAAAAGCAAGTGAAAAACATTCATTTTTTGCTGCTTGTGGTTTTGTAATGCTTTAAAAAATGTGAGGATGTATTAGTTTTTTTGCCATATTTTGGCTGTTTGTTGGTGGGGATTTGTTGAATGTCCCCTAAGAATAATTTTGCTGATTATCAGTAATTTATTTTATATTTTAATGATGCTGTGTGTAAATATGGATGGTAGAGGATGATTTATCAGGGTTTTATGTTTCATTTGAGCTTTCAGCTAAGTCTCTGTGTTGAAGCATTTAGTATTTGAAATTATTTGTCCAGTTTGGACATTTGCTGGAGACCTGTCCAAGTATGATGGACATTCTGGATTATATTATGTCTCAAATATTCATGCTGTTGGTACCAAATTTGAACTGGTAATAGTTGTGAATCTATATTTTAACCCAATATATATTTTTTCCTTAATACTACCTTTCCTTCATGTTTTGGGACACTTTAAAAACCCTACAATATTTTAAGTAAAAAACATCTTATGATTGTAATGTATTTGAACTTCAATACCTAAATACTAATTACAGCTTCAAAAATTATGACTATTGAAGTTAAAACTTGATAACTTTATATAGAGACTAGGCTTGCGGATTTACTCCAAAGGATTCAAGAGTATTACTCAATTTGATTTGGGTACACTTTTGGGAATTTTAGGCCCGGCAGCCTGAGCAGGTTAAGCAGAATGAAAGACAAAACCAGTTGGTTTTCTGTGTCTCTACATCAAGAAGTTTAAGATCCACATGAATTAYTGCAAAAACTGATAGCAACTGAACAAAGTTATTGATCAAAAGCCACTTATTCTTTTAGAACAATCTTGGTTTTCATACACTGACTATTCTTAGGTAAAATTTTTAAACCTTGCTTTGCTAACTAGTTGCATTCAGCAAAAAAAGCATAGTGTTGTGAGAGCAGGTGGGAGTGTGAGAGGCTGAGGAAAAGCAGGCAAAACAGACACAAGGGAACATGAACACTGAAAGAGAAAATTTATAAACCAGTGCACATGGTCTTAGTCACTAGTTGGGTGTTAGTTTCCCTTCATCAGTTAAATTTAAAACAGTATTCCTTAGTTTGTTGCTGTAAATGGACCCTTTCGGTTATTTTTTTTTTACATTGTCAGAGGATGCATTGTTCCCAAAGTGATGTTCATATCTCTTTTAAGAAATTATATTTTATTCTGAGGCTTTGAACCTACAAGGATTTGATGCTGAAAGGCAGGCAGTTCTGTTGGTTAGGTATCACTTTAAACTGAAAGTCTCTGTAATACAAAGTAAGAAATCTTCTGAGGAGTTGCAGTGAATAAATAATCTCTCTCTGTTGCATCACTATTCTAAGAGGTCCACCTTCGCTGATAAAGGCTCAATTTTTCCATTTCAGATGACAACTCTGCCAAATTGCATGTCATTTTGCATATATCTGGAAGAATAAACGCCTCATCCTAACAAGACTTGGTCGGCTCCTACCTATGACATAATTCATCTTTATTTGCTGCAACAGAAATTCATTTATACGGCTTTCACCGCTACAGTACCTGACATTATTCCAGTATTACTGTTTGTATCTTATTCGGAGGTGGCTACTTGGCTTGTAGCTGCTGTTCTCGCAGCTCCCGGTGTGTCTCTGTGTCACTGCTGTTTACCTCCTTGTACACAAAGATCTGCCAGTGTGTCGGGCGGCCCTGTTGACAGGTAACAATGCCACTGGCTGAGGGGGGTCCCAGCAGAACCAGCAGTACTTTAGGAACGAAGCCTAGAATAGCACTGACATGGGGTTCACTAGACCCCATTACGAGAAACACAAATACGCAGCAGCAAACCAATAACACTTAATCCGCCTGTCAGAAAACCTGACATATATTCACATCYAATGTTACATAAACAACACAGTTTTTATTTATTTATTTTTTGTTATTGACAAAGGTGCTGTATTGACTTTGGCTGAGAAAATGACATGTTTGCCGACTCACATGGAGAAGTTCAATGTGAAACAAAGAGGAAAAGGTTGCACAAACCTCTGGGCAGGACTCCTTTTTGATGATGTAACTCTTGATCATTTATTGTTGCTCATGTTTCTTGATGTCTAAATTAGTATTTTGGAAGATGTAAAGCACCACACAATCCATTCTTTACATTGTTTTTTATCTGCCACGTTTCGAGGAGCAGCTTTGGGTATTTTGTGCAAATATGAATAAGATGTGTACTCAGACTCCCCCGATGCGTTTTCGCAAGTGAGAGAATGAAACAAACGTCTCGCTTCCTAGACTTGTGAAATAACATCTGGGATGCAATAYAGCTTGAAATGACGGTTGTGTCTCGTTCACCTTGAATCCTGGCTTGAATCCAACATATAAACAAGTATAAATGTTAAAAAATGCAAAGTATTCCATATGTTCATGCATAAGCAGAATCTTCAACATGCTAATCTAAAAGATTATCATAAAACTCTACAGTGATAAGGACAATAAAGTATTCCCATTACATATGCCTTGTGATTTTTTCTTTTGTAAAAGCCAAACATCCAAGGAGAGCCTGAGTCAGGTATTCACAGAATAATCTAAATGAAATCTGGAGTTTATCTTCTATGGTATTTTAATAAAATCAGATACTTTTACTGTACTAAACTCATACTGAAACAGGATGTACAGTAATGTTCAAGCAGTCCCACACTTATAGTAAAGTATGCACAAAGTATGACGTTGCATATTCTTTTTGCACAATGACCATTTTTAAGGTATAAAACACATTCCATCATAATGTCTGACATTTTTTGCATAAATTGTTTGTTTATAATAAAATRCAAGAAAATAGTTCAAAACTGCAAATGACATTTCATGTTGTCACATTTGAGAAAATAACAGCTGCTAATTCCATTTCTTGAGTCACCTGAATAATTAGGCAGCTAATCCCGTTGGCTCTGCTTAAGTAAAGGTGATAAATGTTAATTTAAGGGTCAGACGATATAAATTATTGTATCCCTTTGTGCAACAGGCAGTCCTGGTTAATGAGTGAAATTTCCTGTGTAATTGCTATTGATGTTGCGGCAGCAAAGTGCATATTCAAGATGAAATTATGCTGTGACATTTTCAACACGCAGCTCTGACAGTATTTGTGTATTTGGCAAAATTGTGGGGAAAAAAGAATTTATTTGTCATGTTTAGAGAGTCAGTTTGTCTAATTTACCAAAGAGTGATTGTATTTATGTTATAGGTAATTCTCATTCATGTATTGATTGCTGCTGTTTTAGTCATAGTTTGCATAAGAAATCTTAAGCTGAGTGTTTGACAAGAATCATGAATTAACTTTTAACACAGTTTTTTTTTTACAATTATGTTTACTTTGACAGTATGAACAAACCTGAAAGTTAAAGGAATAGTTCAAATAATGAAAAACTCCTCAGCAGTTCTTGCAAACTAATTCATAAAACTTTACACTGCTGTTAATTTTGCATTCTAGCTGTGATTTTATTATAAGATGATATTTCTGCTGATAATGTGCTACAGCTAACTGCTTGCAAATGCCCATAGAAATTTATGCTAATAATCATTTAATAGGAAACAACAAACAACTAAATGTGAAGTTTTATAAGATAAACTGCTACCAGACAACTCTGATTGGAGCTGTTTTAAAATGTCAGAAATCTTCTTTAGTCCTGGATCTGCTTGGATTATCTGCTGGCTTGTCAGTTTGGTCAAAATGAAACTTTTTTTTCCTCCAAACTGAGATGGTTCAAAGAGTTTTCTACAACAAATAATATAATAATCATTCTTAGCATTTTCACAAAGCCCCACTTTACAGATCTGTGCTATCCATCTAATGCTTGGAGTGAAAAGGGTTAAATTTTCTCTGAGAAAATGTATCTGATAATTTTTCATAATTTTTTTAGTCAATAAAAGTTTATTCTTAATATGAAAGAAAATAAAGCCATGTTTGCAGCCAGAAATGAAGAAAATTGGATTTTAAACTGAACTCCATCCGTTTGTGACAAACTTTCTTTTTAACCCTAAAGTGAAATGGCCAAAACTCTAAAATTTTGATATTTCAGTTTTAAAGCATCGGGGGAAACGGTTTGTATCGAGCCTCAGGAAACAGCGCTTACGTCTGACGTCTCTGAAGTAGATGGTCTGTCTGTTTGGGTTCAGCAGCTGGATGACGGAGTCGTCGTTGTTCTTCACTCTACAGCTGATGGTGACCATTTCCCCCTCGATCACGGACATGTTGTCCGCCGCCAGGTTCTGAGAGTCGACTGYAAAACACACGCGGAAAAGAACAGAACATGTCAATATGGAGAACAAATGTCTCTGACTGAATACTTAGGGTCTATTAAATATTTAGATTTCTGWCAACAGGGACGTCGTGTCAACATGTGCAGTGGAGATATGTGAATAGGCTGTGTAGATATTCTGTTTGCAGCCATGTCTAATCCTTTTATTATAAGAGCCATGTGCAGTGTTTGTCACCATTGATCTCCCCAGCTAAGAGTGGGCCCCTGTGCGCAACTACCAGATGGGCTGTAAGCTCTGCTGCCCACAAAGATGCAGCGAGACAGAGGAGAGTCCACGAAGGRAACGAGACAAAGAACAAGTGTAAGGAAAGTGGCGAGGCAGCAGATATGAGTGGGGTGGTGGAGGTGAGAAGGAAAGGGTGGCTTAGASCGAGCACGGAGGAACAGAGAGGGACTGGATGCTGTTTGTGGTTAAGCTTTATCAGATCTCACCATCTGAGGCTCCACGTGATCAGTGTGTGCTCAGTGGTTCTGGATCTCTATACAAGCATCTGAACGACTCCCTCTACACAGGCTTTGTTGCCACAGACAGACTTTGGACCTTGTCATCAGAACTTACATTGTGCTAAAGCCCAACTCACACACTGACTTTGTTCCACCCTTGTCTTGGGAGAGAAAGGAGAAGGAAAATGGAAGTCACCTTGTGCTATATTTATTTGGCACGAGCCAAAAAAAAGCACAAAGAGAATATGTTTAGTGCCTCAGATTCACACCAAGTAAAGGAACAACACTCTAAGTACCCCCCCACCCCAAATAAATAAATAAATAAATAAATAAAAACATCAAAAGCACATTTGCATGCCCGAGTTGTCAGACACCTCTATTGCATTCTGACATTTACAAAGTGGAGGGGGGTAAAAAAAAATACGCCTGCATTTTCAGATAGTGATAATGGGAATAGACAGCCAAACTAACATGATTCAAAATGAACTCTGCGAATGCGGCRAGCAATAAGAAATTAACCTCCTGTGGAGAAAAGCTCCTCAGACCTGTCTGATGCAATGAACCACCCATTTCATTCCACTCTGGTGCCGGCAAGCAGGTTCAGGACAAAAGAAGGGTAATAGGTAAAAAAAATAAAAATAAAATAAAATAACACAGACAACCAATTATGTGCCAAAGTACACAAAGTAGGAAATTAAAGATTTTTTTTAGTGAGCACTACATGCGTGAGTTTAATTTGATCAAATAAATTTGAATTATACATGGACATGAATCAAATTAAAGGGGGTGAGAGTAAGTCGAGCTCATTGTACTTTCTAATGGCCAGCAGATGAAACAAGACTAAATGTTTATCTAAAGAGGAGGGGGGAGGGGGGAGGGGGTCATATAAATGCAGGAGATACAAACTGTTTGCACATTTTTTTTTTCAATAGTTCAAACCTGACATTTGAATTTCCATAAATAAACCCTGATGTAAGTAGTTTCTTATTTCATATACCATTTTAATCTGAAATAAATTGTGCAGCTATGATTAAAAATTAATTTGACATGCAGAAATGAAAGAATGGATTTTGTATTTTCAGGTCCACAAAAGTTCAAAGAGTTGGCTCATCATATATCAGAAAAATGTTCTGGATGACAATCACAAGAAGATGGGAAATATATTTCTTTAGGAGTGCTAGGTCTTTATTTTAGATAGTTTATTGTAAAAAAAATCGAATGTCACGTGAACTGAAGTGCCACATTTCAAACACAGACGCATGTAAAAAGTTACAATCATTTTTACATTAAAGGAGACATGTCATGCTTTTAAATCCTTCTTTTTCAAATTTAAATCACTCATTTGGAGTCTACATAAAATGGAACTGCAATGATTTGTTCTGAATTTCTATTTATTGTAACTCCACAAGCCCGTCTTTCTGAGGTGTGTCTCAGATCAACTTGTCTGGAGGCTGTACCATTTAAATCTAAACGAGACGCTTCACCCCCCACTTCTAGCAGTCCATTTTAGTTTGATAGAGGGGTTATGACTATACAGCGGCGCAGAATTGTTTTATTAATTTAAAGAAGTCAACAAGGGAAGACGTCCATCCTGCTTTACCTGTTGGAGTCAGAGTCTGACCCAGAGCCAGAGGAGAGCAAAGATGACCAAAGTTGGTCCAGACTTTATTTGGCAGTTCTGTCGTAAATAATTTGACATAATAGTTCAGAAAGGTCATTGAAAATAGAAACAACTTGAACTTGGTTGAAATATGTGATCCAAACTAAAGAGTGACTAAATTAAACTTTTCTGCACTCCTAGAGACACACAACAAAATGCATTTAACGGCTAAAAGAGTGGATTTTGCAGGATGTATCCCTCTCAAGTTTAAACTTATTGCAAAGTCATCACTCCTGTTTGAATGCAGCAGGTAGTCCTCAGGTGAATTCACGGGGCGTTAGTGTGCGTTTGTGCTGATAACATTTACTTTTTCATGCCGCTGCCTGTTGGCCTTTATGTGGCTTTAATGTCTTGTTGATAATGTCGGCATGTCCGAATTTATAAGGGTGTTGATATCGACGAAAAGAAAGGGGAAAAAATATCAACACAAAAAAATGTCATTAATACAAAAACTACACCAGTTCTGAGTCTTCTTTGCTCTTTTCAGGTGTTGTGATAATGAATCCTTCATGGATAACCTTCCAGCGTAATGTGTATGTGCATATTGTTGGCTGCAGTGAAAGTCTGGACCTGATCTCCAGACCTTCTCTGTGCAAAGAATCACAAATAACAGAGAGAAAAAAAACAATCTTGGAGCAAATAGCGTAAGCCCCTACAGAGTTTGATTTGAAAGTCATGGAGTCAGTCTAAGATTAGAGAAACAGAATGAAACATTCTTAGTTCAGATATCTTGAAAAGATGTTTTGTGCAAAAATCATCCAACATAGGTTTTAATTTGAGTGTTGAAAAACAAACAAGACATATTTGAAAAAAAAAAAAAGAGTTTCATTCACCTGCCACCAAGATATTGCATGAAGATCAATACTAAAACAGGTAATTATAAAATAAGTGCATCAACATAATCCATAATTATCTTCTTTTTTTCAAAGGATGTATGCAATTAAAGTCAAATGTCTTTAAAAGTTGGATGGACAATGTTATAAACAGTGTCACAGCTGAGAAGGGACCCAAACTGACATGAGCAGCTTCAAATAAAATGTAAAATGTTTAATAAAGAAAGACAAAAAGCTGCAGCTACAACAACTTACAGGAATTGAAGAAAATAACAAGAGAACCAGACATGGCATTAAGAACATTAATGAAGAGGAGTGAGAAACAAGTGCTGAAAAAAAAGCTGTGATTAATGAGGTAGGTGGCTGCAGCTGTGACTAATAGGAATGGAGAACAGGTGTAGGTGGGTGTGGCAGAACAGAGGAGCAGAAACTGACTGTGGGAAAGTTCTGAGCACGGCTGGAAACACAGGGAGGCAATGGGACAAAGTCAACATAAAGTAATTAGAGAAACAAAACATCATAATTAAAACAAAAAGCCAAACATGGAAAACACACAGCTCATGACAAACAATGACGTAGCCCGTGTTGGAGATGACTCTCAGCTACTACCACACCAAATTTTAGCTGGATATGTACAAAATTGACTGAGTTAATGCTGTTTATGAGCATTGAAACAACAGTTTCAATGAAACTAACCTGTAGAAATAAAGATGAATTAATGCACGCTGATAAAATTGAGTGTTTCTGAATTAAAAAAAATGGTAAAAATAAATGAATAAATAAAACACTGACATGTGTTTGAGTCGAGCTATCATTCGGACTTCCTGTGTGCATAAATAGATGCCGCTGAAGATGAGGCAGAAAGCAAAATGAAAAGTTCTGATGTCTGTGTTACTTCGTCGCCGTAATATATCTGGCAGTGAAAAACGGCAACACGGCGCAGCCTCAAAGCAAGGTTACCCTGCTCCCAATCTGCTGGGCTGAGAGAAAGGCAACGAAAAAGATAAATTCTCTTTAAGGTTTAGCAGCCACCCCTCCACCACCCCCCACCCTCAAGCAAGGTTGGTCCCCCTCCAATATCCCAGCATAGGCTCATCTCCAATTCAAAACACACATAAATAACGGCGCTGTGATTAGCAATCCCATCAAAGTGAAAACAGGCCACTTTGTGGAACATGGAGGGTTTTCGCAATTGAAGTAAACATTTTCAATTGCCTCGGCATCCTGGTCATGATTGGGTGCAAATGAGGAGAGGCAGTCATTAATTTTGGGTGGTGGGTGGGGGTGGGATGGAGGAGAGAGGGTGACGGTGGGGCGGTGGGCAGAGGCAGAGCACAGATGACTGGCTGATAAATTCACACTCATTCCAGCAGCTGTCTGGGAGAGTAAAGTGCCTGTATCTCTACACATGGCTGCCCTCCTGTTCCTGCATCACAACATACTGAATGAAACAGTCGGAGGAAAATACAGACCTTCAAAAGTCTGCGCTCCCTCTGAGGGGATGTACAATCTGGCAAGTAGTGTCTGGCATGGAGGCTCGGCTCATCAACCATACTCAGAATGCAAAACGGTGCCAGACCCTACCAAGCCCCCCCAACCCCCTATACCCGCACCCTGACCGATTTTAACAAAAGTTGACGAAATCGGGAAATATTAGTGGACCTGGCTCTTCCTTCAGAAATTCAGGGACCGGCACCTTTTGAACCAAGTTGGCTCGCTCTTTGAACTTTTCTCTCTTGTTTCTCACTTCAAAAGACATGAAAGAGGGGAGCAAAACGCAGGACCGACAGCCCCCCCATCCCCGTTCCCTCTCCCCTGAACCACAGCCGTCTGCAGCAGCAGTCATGTCCTTTCAAGGAACAACCAGACCGTCATTAACAATAAAAGTTTCTTCCTCTTCTTCTCTGATTCTGTCTCTTCTCTCTTTATCCTTCTTAGTCATTAAATCCTGATCCTCATGATGAAATGCTGTTTTAAGAATGTTCACAAGTGRGAAGGGTATAATTAGCACCGTGCCATTTCTCCCAGACCCTTTGCATTGGAAGGTTTCAAAAAATTTCATGGCCCCTAATTTAACAGAAGCGCATGGGTCCCCGTTAGCATAATGATGCTGCAACAGAGCTAAAAACAGATTTTGAAATATTATTGTCTCAAATATTTTTTAATGAATACATTTTCATTATCACGTGAAGATAAAGACGGACACTTTAATAATAACTTTTTAGCTTTGTTTTAGGCTTTTATTATAAAGGTGTGACAATGACTTTAGATGCTAATTGATCATTTTAAATGTAATATTTTTATTAACATTTGTAAGTGCTTGTGTAGATTATCAGCCATCCAAGACATAGTAAATGAAAAGGTTAAAAAATGAAACAACTGAGCTTCTATTCTGTACTTTAAATGTTTTATTTATTTATTTATTTTTACTTTTTACATGCTAACAAGTTGCCACATTTTATTTACTTCAGGTAAACTGGTAAAAGTTTACAAAAATTGACAGAATAAAACAAATCATTAAAATTCTTACTTTCTTATTGAAAGTCAAAATGAGGATTGTATCAAATGATACAGTTAGAAACATTTCTTGATATCAGAAGAGTTGATATAGCTGCTATTTCATAAAAAATACGCAGACGAATGCTCCAACAAAATGATCTAAATAAATCAGATCCTGTTTTTGTTATGACTGTCCAACAAACATTTGACAGTCACTGCTTCTTTGCTGGCAGAATTTCTGTTTGTTAACATCAACAGCAGTTTCGCGGTGTGACTCTTTATTCTTGTCAGCCCTGTTGGAGCAGGCAAAAGCTGCACAAAAGTTGACCTTTATGGTTGAATTAACACCAATTGCTCTACGAGCTCACTTTATCTTCTATGCTTATCCACTGGAGCTGGTTTTCCAATATAATGATTTAGACCGGGCTCACACAGGAARTGATGTCATCATAAAGTGGTTTAGTACGACATCTCTCTGATTTAAATAGGAGTGAAGAAAACCGTGTTTACAGAAGCTTCCCTTTAAGTAAATCTCCAAAGAGTAATTTGAAGGTTTATGTGGAATTGCCTAAGGCAAGGGCACAACTACACTGCTTTATTTTATTTTATTTCATAATTATTGTTTTTTACAATAAGAACCTTACCCCAGAGAACAGAGGAGTCCTAGATCCACTGATGCCTTCATCAGTCACTTTCTGTTAAATGACCAAGAGACTAAAACAAGAAAAATTCCTTTGATCTGACAGTCTAAGTGTGTCACAGGTTTATTGTCAGTTTAAGAGTTTACATTTAGAAAAAAAATGCACATTAAATCACAATATTTTTCTCTGATATTGAATTGTTACAAATGCTGCATGTGCATGCAACAACCTAAGTGGGGGTGAGTCTGATGTGCTGCAAATGCACATGCATAGCTAAACTTTGCAGATTTTTTCAGCTGCAGAGAGCTAATGAGGTGTTGGTTTTGATGCAGTTCCTAATTGACTTTTTAATGGGACTCACACTCAGACTTAATTAAATATATGTCCTTTAAATACAAAGTTGATAGTCATACAAACGATGCCATTAAATAACCCAGGACGTCTTTTCTTTCTTTCTTTCTTTCTTTCTTTCTTTCTTTCTTTCTTTCTTTCTTTCTTTCTTTCTTTCTTTCTTTCTTTCTTTCTTTCTTTCTTTC